AACCTAGTGTGTATATAGGGATTAAAAGAATAAGAACTTTTTTTTTTTCACTTAAAGAGAATTAAAGTAAAACAACATATATACATTCCACTTAAAACATTTATACCTGAACTTTGAACATTCATCAATTTCCAATCACCTAACATGTATACAGGTGAAACTATTAACTTCAAATTTCTAGTGTGCATATCATATATTAGACTTTAAAAAATTAATGATGAACCACTTTACCGTTTATAGTGAAAAGTAGAAAATTCATCAAGAAATTATGACACATGATTGGATAAATAATAATAAATACAGTAGAAGCAAAGTTTCCATACACCAAATGTACTTGTACGAATGCGATATGAAAGGGTAACCCCAGGCTCCAGAGCACCTTCTCAAGCCATTCAGGACCATCTCTTGTGCCTTTTCTTATATGCTTTAGTGCCCTTAGTTTCTTTCTTCTATACAAAACAATAAAGTGGATGAATTTACCCATAGATTCAACAGACGGACATGAAACTATTCAACAAGATCACCAACAAGAAAATACTATATATGACATTAATTTCAAGAAAATAAAACCCCCAAACAAGAAACTATTTAATTTGTATATATAGCAAATAAATGTTGACAAAACGATGAGTCAATACCTTCAAAAAATCGGCCAAAAAAAAACTTCAAAATGCCCATAATACGCAAATTCATTAATCATTACGTAAGTGATCAGTCAGTTTCGAAAGGCACTATAAGATTGTGGCTTTGAATGAAAGACCATTGTTGCAAACTGGAGTAATAAGAAACATATATATAGGTTAATTTCTTAAGTAAACAACATTCCCCGTCACTTTAATGTGTTTACCACTTCTTACTGGAGTCAGTTTTCTTTAGTTATGTATTTGATAATTCCGTGCCGCGATTGGCTGTTAATTACAACAAACTATCTCCTACATTAGTTAGGTGACGGTAATATTATTTCAAGAGCTAAAATTAACAATAGTATCAAGTTTATTTATGTGCTTTTTATGTGCAGGTAGGAAATTCACTGTCCCCTGCTGCTCATCTGGTACAGTATGTCTATTATTCGACATATATATATTAATTTTCAACAACGTAGAATTAAGTCATGGCGAATAAATCTAATATTAGATAATAATTTTTTAATTTCATATATTAAATATAGTTTAGCTTTTTTAATTTAAGTAATAAATTATTAACTTTCCTGACCCAAAAAAAAATAATAAACTACTAACTAGTTGTAGTTAGAGTAACTTGTAAGTTAAGTATAGTCTTAGAGTAATTTATAATTTAAGTTTAACCCTGAATCACGGCCAAAATAGGATAAATATACATGGTATAAAAGGAGAGTTAACCCATAGTAAAACCCTATCAAATAATTCCAAGCACTATTTGCCACTACATACTCACTCACGTATAATTTGTCAAAATCTGTTCGTTAGAACTCTATTCGAAGAGGGAGCGCGGTCTAACGCTAGTTGAGGTAAAACTTTAAATCCTAGTTGTATTCAATGGAGTTCATAAGTTTGTAATTTGTATGCATGCAAATTGATCTTCTTCTTGTTTGTTATGCAGCTCTTTCATCGTCCCACTTTAATCATGAATTGGTTTCGTCATCCTGCCTCAATGAACCAACTGCTAGGGGAAAAGGTAGTGATTAGAGTATTCCTTAAAACATATATATTTGTGTATATATATATTCATGGAACCTGGAAAGCACTTCACTTACTTCATTCAATATAATTGATTATACTTCGTTGTAGGTCTCCCCAATCATCATACCATCTGATTGTCCAAAACATCTTGATTGGAGAAATAACTATAAAGTACTTAAAGTATTAATAGGTTGTTTGTTGCTTTCCATGGAATAACTTCCATAGGAGAGTGATTCTTGGGAGAGTGATTTCAGGGAAAGTAACTTTAGGGAAAATAACAATTAAATTCCATGTAGAGTACTTTCAATGGTTTGGTTTATCAGCATTTTCCTTGGAAAATAATCCAATTTTAATGAAATTTACACTTTCCATGGGTAAGAAAAAACTTTCCCTACCCCCCATGTGGGAAAGTATTCTCCCATCTAGCAAGGAAAGTAGGTGACCTACAAGGTGCCCTTAAAATTATTTTCCCATCTAAAATTATCAAAACAAACGATGGAGAGTGTTTCCATCCTATTACTTTCCCAGAAAAGTAAGCAAAACAAACGCACTCTAAGTGAAGTTAGAGATCAAGGAAAATGCGGTACGTATGTAAAATAGTTTCCTTTTTCTTTTAGTTTTTATTTTCAAAACAACGAAAAGATATATATAATAATATAACAATGCTTTCTGCTTATGTAAAATAGTTACATATATAAAACAAAAGTCACTCGGATCGAACTTGGTGGAACATATACTTTAATTAATTGCTTTTTTTTCTTTTTATTGCGGTGCAATATGTATATATATATGTTAAACTTCCTCTTGCGGTACGTATGTAAAATAGTTTCTTTTTTTTTCAAACAAAGAAAAGATATAATAATATAACAATGCTTTCTGCTTATGTAAAATAGTTACATATATAAAACAAAAATCACTCGGATTCATGAACTTGGTGGAACATATACTTCAATTAATTGTTTTTTTTTTCTAATTGCGGTGCTATTATATATAGATGTTAAACTTCCTCTTACTAAATCAATATATCCTTTTTTTTCTCTCTTAGGTTGTTGTTGGGCATTTGCTGCAGTTGACGCTGTTGAAGCACAATACAGAAGGTATTGTGGGCCTTTGAAACTATTATCTCCTCAAAATCTACTTGATTGGTGCCCAGCAGTACAACCCAACTCTCCCGAGTCCATCGATTATGGTTATTATCCTCAGCTTGCCTATAAATGGTGGAGTAAGAAAGATAATTTAGTTTATAGAGAACATGATTATTCCTACGCTGGGCATAAATGTCCACGCCAGATAGTGCAGGTAAGTGAAGTTGGAATTTTTATATATCAATTATTATAATTGATACGTGAACGTTAACGTGACCTATTTATTACAGCCAACTAATCAGTCGGGTTTACGTATTTATGGTTATGGAAACTTTCCCGCATATGATAGAGAGCTTATCATGATACATCTCAATAAATATCCATTGATCGCTTGTATCGAAATTTATCAGTCATTCATTGATCCTGGTGTAAGTATTATCTCCTTTACTTTACTTACGCATATAATAAATGCTATTAATATGTACACATGACATTACTAATTTATGCTTTGTGAATTTAGGATACAATTTATGAAGACCAACCAATGATGACTTAACTAATAAGGCTGGGTATAGGGGATATCATGCTGTTCTTCTAGTTGGTTATGACACCGATCCTGACACTAAGAAAAATTATTGGATAGTGAAGAACTCATGGGGAACAGGATGGAGAGATAATGGATATGGAAAGGTGAGCAGAGACATCATGTATAAAGGAGAATTTTTGTTGAAAGGGAGCGTCACTTTTCCAATGGTCACCCTCGATAGGGAACTCTATCGAAATAATCTTTATTCTTGAGGGAGACAAGAAGAAGTGTAGAACCACTTAAACCAACAAGTTTGGTTTATCTAATTGGATGATTTTCTTTAGTTTTCATATTTTTTTTCTTTTGTTGCGTAAGAATAAATAATGTTGTAGAAACTTCTTTAAATTATCATTAATGATTTTTCAATCTTTCGTGGATTTATATTTATAAGAAAAAATAGCAAGGTCCTCTTTATTCTCTGTTTTCTGTCTTTTGTTGTTTTTCTTTTTCTTTTTACTTTTTGGACAGTGTTGTTTTCAGTTTAGAATCAGGTGCACTATCTCTCTCTCTAACTGCTTCACTTAAAAGTTAAATCAGTAAGCCTTATTCTTTCTGGTAAATAAATCCCAAATTAAGGGGGATCACTTGCATAATGCAACATTAGCAGGAATTAGCACACCCCAGAAACACACAGGGCGCAAAGTTCCTCTAATTTGCATGTTATCTATATCCATAGAATAAATGATAAAATTCAAGCAGTAAGCATGAAACAGCACACTATGAAAGATACCCTCCCTCGGCCAAACCAAAGTTACAGTTATCACATGCAACAGCCCAGGATTAGAATTGGTCACTGTTGGGAGGCTAAGATAATTGATCCTAATCAGTAAATAGCCCCCAAAACAGCATGTTATATTTTCCGAACAATAATATGCCTTTCTCGTTGGTATTCCACTTCACCTCTCTGATGCATAATTAAGATGGCTCTTCTTACCTGCCAAACACAATTAATAATCATATTATTATAATAAATACAAGATGAAACTCGGATGCACGGGTTCATGAACAAATGCAGATCAACTATAAGATCATGTTTAGCCAGTATTCCCATATGTTTACTAACGTGTTAAATTGAAATCCAACTAAATATCTTGGGGCTACTTCTAATTAAAGCATGATAAAGGGTCAAGATTAAGCACATGGGTGATAGTCAGAACATCTGGAATCATAAACCAGAGGTCAATTATTACTCAGCAATATTCAAGCTGACTCATTACTTACCATTGATTCATTAATTCATCCCCATTCTTGTAAGGTCATCAATCAGCCTTCTTCAATCTGATATGCTATTTCCGATTCCCAATCTTCTCTTGATCTGATTTTCTACTTGCTGTTTATGTTAAGATTGTTATCAAATGGTGAAAAAGCTCTGCAATGATGTAAAAGGAATGGTACTAAAGTCTACAAACCTTAATGTCGTTGGCCATATCTCTAGTGATATTTATTTGTTGATTTATACCAGAACGTGCAGCATCCATTGTAGAAACTTTGAAAAGTCTTAATGCTTCTGCTACATCACCTTCAGTAGCAACATGTGACCTAATAGACATTTCAAGTTAACTGTTAAAGGTGAACGATCTATAATCTAGTCTAGTATATCAAAAATGGCCACTGGAGATCAATTTGTTATAATATTTTCAGAGCCTTGTTCACGAAAAAGATCAAGTCAAATCATGAAAGAATCGTGGTCTGCAAATCGATATTGTCCTGTGCTGTCTGCAAGATTATAAGATTTATTTCAGTTGCCTAATAGGAGTAGCAAGCATAAATTGAAGAAAACAGGAACTGCAGCTAAATACCTTTAGATCATCATAATGCCCTGAAGGAGGGTTAGCAGCGGCAAGCACCCAAGTTCTGGAATTGGGAACAGTTGTTATTCCTGCTTTGGCAATATATATTGTCTGTTGCTCCATAGCTTCATGAATAGCAACCCTAGGTGATATAAAGTCAGTAAAACTCCATAAGTATCTTGTAGACCAACCAGATGCATGTTAAGTACTTAAGTTTAAACATTAATTTAACTTACCTATCCTCAGGTCTCATCTTATCAAATTCACCAATACATACTACACCTCCATCTGCCAAAACCATATGAAATTCTCGCTTTAATTGCATATATATGCCAAAATCGTGAGAAAAATTCCATACGTATGGGCAGAGGATGATAACAAAAAAGAACTAGTACTAGAATATTATGTTACAGATGCCAAAGCATATCAAGAACTTACTGAGCTGCTATCTCGAATAATTGATGCTGTAAGACCAGCAGCTGAAGAGCCCTTTCCAAACAGCTATAGGAGCCGAACTTGAGAACTGTGCATGGTAATCATAAAACTAATACAAACTTGTGTGGCAAGCAATAGAAATTATGAAATGAAATAGCTTAGGTTAAAAATCCTTGAAAAGTGCAAACAACATTGGTTACAGTAAAGTCAACCAAAATGAGAAACGTGCAACAAACCTGTGACTTGGCAACACATTGATATCACCTCTTTATCTCACCCCATCCAGCAAATTCTACCAAATCAAGAAAGCCAGTTATGGTGACACTAGGTAGTAGGAATTGAAGGATAGAACTACAAGTTAAGGACATGAAACTTACCTTCCTGGCTCCTCCAAAGAGAAGACAAGCAACAGCCTTCTTGACATCATCATGCATGACCAAATATAGAGGGAGCAATCTTGGAGCATATGGCTTGATATGTATCTTGATTTGAGGCAAATTTCTTAAATTCTTCAACCTGAAAATGACCAAATGCATAGCAATGAAGACGAAGAAGTGAATCTGTTGTAACCTTAGTTAAGTGATGAGTTATCATGAACAGAACTGCCAGACATCAAAATTAATATGATCAACTCAATTCAAGATATGCTTGCTATAAAACATATAAATAGCACTATCATGCATCCCATTGATACAAATGCAAAAAGCATGATGCAATTAGGGGAAAAAAAATCAGTAAAGTACGGATGAAATTTCTTAAATAAACATCATTAAATATCACTTTGATGCAGGATATCATAGTCTGGTGTACAGGCATTTAATGGCTGTGCCAAGGAGAACAGAGAATGTGCTTGGGAGGTTATGCCATTGATGTAGGATATCAAAGTCTTGTCTAGAGATTTTCAAGGTTTCACGATGAGGTGGGTACAGCCAATTGGGTTGGAGTGTCTTTTCGCAAAGGGATGTGCAGCAATGATTGGGTCGAAAGACCTCCTTCCTCTTTGATGTTTATTCTTGTAAAGGATGGACTCCCTGGTCCTCCTTGACTCTGTTTCTGTTTTGATGCGTTTGATTTTAATGGAATCTCATTTATGGCCAAAAGAAAAAACGATCACTTTGATGTTTACCACCTCTTCTTGTGTGGAAGTGGCAGGCCTCGAGAATTGGCTTCATTTGTCTCTTCCATTCCAACCATCCTGATATAAGGCTCTAACTGCAACTGCTCCTTTATGGCTACATAAAATTAGATCAAATTACTCCAATTATAAAATAAGGATGTGAGCCAAGATAAAGTAAACTTTGAACTCCGGGTATTACTTAATTAGTTAATGAATCGGCAGCTTGAAAGATACTATAAATCCCCATTACAGGTACAATTGTTTGAACCAAAGTCCCCGGTCCACAGGGAGTAACATTTTTCTGGGGAGCTCCCCAGTAGATACATCCTTCAAATTAAAAACGAACACGTCATCAAATAAATTCCATGACTCATTTCATATATTATTTCTCTTATAATCAAGATCCTTACCTCAGGATTCTCTTGCAATTTTAAAGTTTGTTGATCAACACACTTGGCATTACTTGATTCTATCAGGTACCACAATCCATGGATCAATAGGGCAAGGTTCTTCTCCAGGCTACACACAATTCATAACTTATATTACAGCTTTGATTACAAAATAGTCATATTTTAAGAAAAACTTATAGGGGCTCTTAACATTATGTATTGTCTTAATCATTTTAGAGAGCCATATTTTTCTGCTACAGACTTAAATTATTACCTTACCATTGATTCTTTCTTTTGGCAACAAAGGTTGTTGACCTATACATGATAAGACATTATTTCTGACTTAGTGGCACAAAGAAAAGCTTAAGAAGGAATGTGGCAAGTTAAATTGTACTAATATTATGTAACTACTCATAAAATATTTCAATCTCTTATTATGGTCATATCCTATACATTCATGCAGGAATTGAACCGTGGACATACATTCAGAAGGTTGAGGAAGCTGTTTTCATCAATGCAGGCTGTCCTTATCAAGTGAGGAACATTAAGGTAACATATATGTGCCCATTCCAACTTCTTGTTTTCTTCAGGTTGATGTTGGATTACAAAATCTCCCACAAGTATTTGCATGATAAAAACTGCATATTTGATTGTGTCTAATTCTCATAAATATGGAATTTACATTTTACAGTCATATTGGATTCTTGAAAGGTGCTTTTATAGATGATCTGCATGGTCAAATGTGGTTTTTTAACAAAGGAGTAAATAATTGAAAAGGGTGTTACTTTCTGCTATAATTGGCAGTCGGTAAGATGCTGGGCCACTACTTGTTAATCTTTAAAGTTGAAAAGGGTGGTTCTGCATGACGGCCGGAACAAGCTACTAGTACTTAATTGAATTGGTTATTCATAGTGAGCCTAAACCTTTGGATTTAGAGATTAAATTTATCTAGTAATTTTCGTAATGTGTAACTCTAATGAAATCTCTTGTTATAAAGTGAAATCTGTCATGATATAAATTAGAGTAGGAGTTGATGTAGGAATAGAAGTAAGTTATAATAAAGAAGACCTGTCATATTTATCATCAATAATGCTTTTGGATGTGGAAATCTTAATCTTGATACTCCCTGTCATATATTCAAGTCCCATTTACATTCAGAGATCTATGTGTATGGTTCCTAGCAATATGGTTGTTTCCCCCTCTGGTTGACATGATCTGAATGATTGTATGATATCTTACTTGTTTTTACTGTAGATGTTATGCTTTTCTTTGTAAAAATAACTGTTTATCTCTTCTCCAGATTTCGAGGAGAAATTGGAATGATCAATCTAACCATCTTATAATTTGAAGCCCTTCATATTTTGAGTTTCTTTAGTGGTTGGAGGAGAAATCGGAATGATCAATCTAACCATCTTATAATTTGAAGCCTTTCATATTTTGACTTTCTAAGTGGTGATTATTATGACATTATTTGACTGTTCTCCGGAAAATGAACTGATGTGGAGCATTCGAGCTTGATGTAGCGGAATTGTGAAAACATTCTCCTTTTATTTTCCACAATTCTCCGGACAACCCCAAAACTCTAGCAGAAAATTAAAACATTCTTAGTTTTTTTTTTGGCCGAAACATCGAGATTGCATTAAGAGAAAAACTTAAAGAGTATTACAGAAGAACTAAAGGACTTTAACAAGAGTATAAAGAGGTACTCAAGCCCTTTAGGAAAAAGAAATTAAAGAGGGGGGCAGGGACGCCGTTCTTATCGCAGATATGCAGGAGCTGGGATGGGGTCTAAGGACCCAATCAATGGGGCACATCCCTGTCCTAGTATTGATCGCAACCCAGTTGGCTGCCATATTAGCTGACCTAGGAATCCATTTCAGAGATGAAGATTGGAGAAGGTCCATAGAAGCTTTGATATCTTGGACAATGGGCAAGATCCTCCAGTCTCAAACTCTTTCCTTTGGGTAGTGTTGGAAACTTTTCTGCACCATTTCTGCATCAGTTTCAATAATGACTCTGTTTAAAGACTGATTTCTCGCAAAAAGAGCAACCTCTTTTACTGCCAGAGCTTCTGCCTCAATGCTGGATGACACAGACATCTGCTTAGCTACACCACCTCTTATGATCCCATGTTCATCCCTTAGAACAACTCCTATAGCTGCCATACCCGTAGATTCTTCATAAGCACCATCACAATTTAGCTTCAGCCTACCATCTTCAGGTGGTTCCCAATGTGTTGCAGACACAACTTTCTTTCTGCATTTTACTAGTGCATCCCTGTATTCTTTTGCATTCATTAGCTCTAATGCTGCCCTTTCAGCCAAGAAAATAACTGTCTCCACAATCAGACCTTTTTTCTCAAAACAAGCAGCACATCTGGCCTTCCAAATTTGCCAACACAGAAATGGTAACCTAGACCAGAGCCAAAAATCCATCTAGCTTCATCTTTAAGACCTTTCATGTTGAGAACTTCAAAAATCCATCTATCAAAAGTAGTAATAGAGTTCTTATCCACTTGATAACCTAGACCAGAGCCAAACCAAACACATCTAACCCATTCACATTCTAGGAATAAGTGTTCAACAGACTCATCTCTATTAAGACAAAATGGGCAGACCTGAGATTGGCAACATTTCTTCTTTTTCAGATTTAAGAAAGTAGGCAAGATATTAAGGCATGCTTTCCAAAGAAAATTCCTAATCTTATTGGGAACATGTAAGTGCCAAATGAGTTTCCAAGTATGCTTGCTAACCTGATGAGAAGAAGAGGTACTAGCTGAGGTCAGGGGACATGACTCTTTTATGGCAAAGTAGCCTGATCTTACAGTATATGAACCATCTTTATTATGTGGCCAGACCATTCGATCAGCTTCATTACTATAACAAATAGGTAGCTTTTCAATACTCCTGATAATATTTGGATGTAGCTCACTTTTAATCTCCTCCAGTTTCCATACCCCTTCCTCTTTATCCATGATTTCAGCCACTTTAACTGGTAGATTATCCCTCCAAATTTCATGATGTTGTTGAATAGCACCACACTCTGGGATCCATCTGTCCTTCCATAGGTTAACACTCTGGCCATTGATAACTTGCCACCTCATATGCTCTTCCAAGATCTTGCGGCCTTCCAAAATATTGTCCCATGTCCACGAAGCAAGAAAGTCACAATCTTTAAAGTAGATGGCTTTCAACATCCTTACCCACATAGCATTGGGGTGGTTAAGGATTCTCCAGCCCTGTTTTGCTAGTAGAGCTCTATAAAGTCTTCAAGGTCCCTAAACCCGATACCACCATTCTCTTTCCCATTGGTTAGCTTCTTCCAACTCAGCCAGTGTATTTTCCTATGCTCATCACCTTGCCCCCACCAGTACTTAGCCATGTCAGAGTTGATCTCTTCACATAATCTCTTTGGAAGTTTGAAACAGGACATGATATAAGTAGGCAGGGCACTCGCTACTGATTTGATAAGGACTTCCTTTCCTCCTTGGGAGAGCAAACACTTTCTCCATCTTGCAACTTGTCCCGGATCCTTTCGTGAATAAATTTCATAGCCTGAAATTTAGTTTTGCCCCAAAGGTTTGAGATGTCAAGGTAGGTACCTGGGTTGTCAGCACCAGGGATTTGCAGAGCATCTTCTATTTGGCTTCTCACCTCAGCAGGGGTATTGCTACTAAACACAATGCTGGATTTCTGCAGGTTTACCATCTGACCAGAGGCATCACAATAAGCCTTAAGAATCCAGTCCATTCCAGCACAATTCTCTTTAGTAGCTGCAAGGAAGAACAAAGAGTCATCTGCAAAGAGCAGATGGGTTAGTGGAGGACAGTTCCTGCTTAGTTTAATACCATTAAGGACACCAACAGACACAGCTGAGTGGACCATTCTAGAAAGAACATCAACAACAAAGAGAAACAGATAAGGGGAAATAGGGTCCCCTTGCCTAAGACCACGACTAGGAAAGACTCTACCAGAAGGCTTACCATTAATTACAAGTGTATAAGAGATAGTAGAAAGACATTCCATTATCCATTTGATCCATTTGCTGCAGAATCCCAGTTTCTCCAAAGTTGCTGCCAAAAAGCCCCACTCTACTCGATCATAGGCCTTATTCATGTCTAACTTCAGCCCCATATCATAATTCCTACCTTTTTTCTTGAGCTTCAAGAAATGAAAAGTTTCAGAGGCTATAAGGATATTATCTTGGATTTGCCTTTCCCCAACAAAAGCACCCTGTTCTTGAGTAATTACCAAATCCATAATAGGTTTAAGTCTGTTGGTAAGGACTTTGGATATAATTTTATAGACAAAGTTGCAAAGGCTAATAGGGCGAAATTGGGTAACTGATTCTGGGTTTTTAGTTTTGGGGATGAGAACAATATTAGTATTGTTTACCTCATGAAGCATATGCCCTGAGATGAAGAAACTTTTAACAGTAGCAATGACAGCCTACTTAACTATATCCCAATATTTTTTATAGAACAGGCCATTGAAACCATCAGGCCCTGGGGCTTTTGTCGCTCCTAACTCAAAGGCAGCTTCCTTAATTTCCTCATCAGAAACTTCCTTCACCATATCCTCATTCATCTGATCAGTAACCTTCTTAGGTACATGCAAAAGGACTTGATCCCAGTTCTTAGAACCATTAGAAGTAAAAAGCTCAGAATAAAACTGTTCAAAACTACTCACAATGTCCTTTTCTTTTTCAATCCAGCTCCCATCTTCAGCTTTGAGGCTAAGGATTTTATTGAATTGTTTTCTCTCGACAGTGGTTTGGTGGAAGAAATTTGTGTTAGCATCACCCTCTCGGAGCCACTTAATTCTCGATCTCTGAAACCAGTATTGTTCTTCCCTTGTCCACATCTCTTTCAGTTCAGTAACTAAATTCTCCACAGTTTTATAGCTTTCAACAGACCCATCGTTGTCTTGAATATCAGCAATTTTCTTCATAATACAATCTATAGCCTCTTTGTTATTGGGTGATCGAGCTTAAATTATGCATGTTTCTATAGCTATTTTTATATACTTTTTGCTATTTTTATATGTGTTTTTACCCTATTTTGTTAGTATTTGTGTTTTTAGGTCCTGAAGACAAGAAAAGTGAAAACTTATTGTTTTTCACTCTTTTTGGAGCTATTTTGGAGACTTTTTACTCAACTATGGATTTAGCCATTTAGAATGAAGATTTGAAGATTCGAAGTTCGTGATTGAAGATATTTTGAAGATTTGAAGAATTAATTCAAGAAGCAAAATTGAAGATTTGGAGCTTTATTTGCAAAGGATTGAAGACAAGCCCAGAAGAAGCCTTGGAGTTGAGGATTTTTGGATTATTTATATGGGAATATACTCAGCCCATATAAATCTATAATTGGAGTTAAAATCCCAATTAATAGGCCCCATATCCAAAATAATATCCAAATCCCGCGTTAATCCCGTAGATTTGCGATATTAGCCCGGTTTCAGCGTAATTTTCGTAGAAAGGCCATAACTTTCTGCTCAGATGTCCGTTTTAAGCCCATGAGTACTCGTTGGAAAGCTAACTCCGAGCTCTACAACTTTCTTTTGAAGTGCAAAGTCCAGATCTGCCATCTTCAAGCCCGAAATCGACGTCGAAGTTCCTGCTCAATTCCAGAAAATTCCTGAAAATTCTAGAGTCCTCATCTAATTTGGAGTCTACTCTAGGATGACACCTAATCCTACTTGGAGACCAAGAAAAGGCTAAACCGTCCTACCCTATTTCTCCACTATAAATAGCCACCTCCTGTATCACAAATCACACTTACACACACATTAGATCTCTCATAGATAGTTAATTCTCTTTTTCTACCTTTCTTTAGTTTTTAGGTTTTTCTCTAGTTTTAGAAGGGGGAAGTCGACACCCTCTCTAGCAATAGAGGGTGCGATGGCCCTAGGGTATTTTCAGGAGGAGATTCCGCCTCTCCTAGTCCTGTAAGTATTCTTATGCCTCTCATGGATTTTCCTAAATCCATGGGTAGCTAAATCCTTAATACTTCTGATCCTTTGGTGAATTCAATCAATTGATTATGGTGAGATTTCTATACTTATAATTTTGTGTTAAGTTCTTGATGATAGTAGTCAAAACCCTGTTATAATTTTATGATTCTGAATCTTATCTGAGTTATGTGGCCACTAACGATGTAAGAGGAAGATCTATGGCTAGATCATACTTAGAATTAATCACTCAAGTTTGATTGTATGTAGCAAATTAGGTTTGTTTAATCGCTGCTTAATGAGTATTTGTCTACCGGAGGGCGAGAAATTTCTCTTCGTATGGTTCTACTTGTAGGCATGTGTGTAAATTAACTGTTCTTAATGCTTTGTTCTCAAGTGATCTTTAAGCCCTAAGAAAGTAATCGATCATTGAAGGAATAATAGGGATAACTGCAGCTTTAATCGGCCTCTTATCTAAAATACATGTTGGGAAACCTATATCAGTTGTCAGTCAAGAATAAGATGCGAAATTCACCTTTTAAATCTAGGATCCATAGTTAATTTGATTGAAGGATACCACTGGTGAAGAAGTATGCTTTATAATTATTGTTTGCTTTATTAATTTGCTTTATTAATCTGCTTTAGATTTAGATTTAGATTTGCTTTGATTTGATTTTTAGTTTAATTGTTTTCTTTATAATTGTTATTTACAATCCCCTGTTTTCTAATCGATTTTTGGAAAAGATCTTTCTATCTTTTAATTGTTCATCACATAACCCTTCTCTGTGGGATTCGACCCCTACTTGCCCTAGCTATTCTAGTTAGTTATTTGTGGGGATTATTTTTATGGTCATAGACGACACGATCATTGGGAAACACCTTTCTACTCCAATCCAAGAGGGCTTTTCTACACCTATGCTGTTTCTGGACTAAAATATAAGCTTTGGACCCCTGGAATTCAGAAGACCAGCCATCCCTGATCACTTGCTCACATTCCTCTTTCTCAGTCCACATGATCTCAAATTTAAAAGATCTGGGAACTTTCTAATCATCAAAGCATGTATCAACAAGCACTGGAGAGTGGTCAGACCCAATAATAGGCTTATTGAAGACAATGGTCTTAGGGTATACCTCCAACCACTCAGTATTTACTAAGGCCCTGTCAAGTCTCTCTTTGATAATCATTTCATCTCTCTTCCCAATCCATGTGAATTTTTGCCCTTGAAAAGGAAGATCAACCAGATTACACCCATCAACCATGTCTCTGAAATTACGAATCTTCCAATACTCCTTAAGGTTACCCCTCCTTTTCATGGAAATGCATTATGTCATTGAAATCTCCTATGCAAAGCCAAGGAATACCCTGATCTTCCATTCTTCTCTGAACTAAGTGCCAAATCTTATTTCTCTCATCAGATTCAGGAGGCCCATACACCCAGAAAACTCTACTAACATTACCATTCTTCACATCAATAACAGAAGTATCAATAAGATTTTTACAGCTTCTTAAGATTTTAACTTTAACATCATCAGTCCACCAAAGTGCCAAACCACCACTTAAACCATCAGGATCAACATAAAAGTCATGACTAAATTTTAACTTTCTTTTCAGCCCCTTCATATAACTCCTTTTGTTCTTTGTCTCCATAATGTAGAAGAGTTGAGGGTCATTTTTTCGCTTCAGCTCCTTAAGAGCTTGAACTGTCAAGGCTGGCCCAGCACCTTGACAGTTCCAAGAGATAATCCTCACGTATCTTGGGTGGCTGTTGTAGGATAGCCACAAGAACCCTCAGAACACTGCAAAGCCATCAAATAAGCTACATTAGCCATAACTGGTATCTCCTTCAGCCTGCTACCACCAGCTAACATAGTACTGGTACGTCTTCTTCTTCCCAGAATGACTCTTTCCGACTTAATATCAGTAGCAGCTTCCTTTTCAATATTCACTTCCTCAGAATAACACCTTTCTTCAGAAATAAACTTAATCATAGCACCATTCTGGCCTTCAGCCCAAACCCTCTTGCTTGAATATTCATTCTGCTTCATTGCATCATTGAAACTTCTTTTCAGATTCAGATTTCTGAAATAACTAACAAGACCAATATCCACATGATAGAGAGATTCCCTGCTAATAGCATTAATCCTCATAGAAGGATCAGCTAATTGAGGCTCAACTATATACTTCAAAGGGCTAGCAACACTATTCACAATCACCTCACTAGTACTTCAGAATCCAGAATTGCAGGCATAGAGATCCCCTTATCATTAAGACAACAATTAGAGACCTTTCTAATATTAGAACTTATGTTTTCCAAAACACCACTACAATTTCAGCAAATTAGGCAAGACATTCTCCTTATCACCATATATACTATCAGAGACTTTCCTATTAGCTGGAAAGTTAAGTGTAGAGAAGTTCTTCTTTATGAAAGGCTTATGAGTAGGTTTATGTATCTTGGTCTTAAGGTTTTTTTATAAGAAAGTATGATTTCGGATAAAAGAGGTGATATTAGTAGGATTATAAGAAGGGTTATCATTATAAGATGGAATATTAGATTGGGTGTTTTGTAGATTTTGAGTTGAACATATAGCAATTTCATTAAGTGGTAAAGGTGATTTGGGTTTATTTGGTATTAATTGGGTTTCTGAAGAGAAAGTCTTTATAGGTAAAGGTTTTAGAGATTTTGGGTTTAATTGGGTAACAGCCAGGTCAGGATTGGGCTTAAGGTTGGGCTGAACAATATCATGACAATCACTCCCAAATCCAGCTAAAGGATCTTAAATATTCGAAGAAATAGGAACACACCTGTTGGTAACCAAATTCTCAAGTAAATACTCTTTTGGGAGGCTACTAGAAGACTCAACAATCAAAGCATTCTTCTCTCTACCAGATTGCGCCAGAATATCCACGTGTTCCCCTCCAACAAACCCGCTTTCCAAGTCAGCGCTAGTAGTGCAACGACCTTTCATGCTATGTGAGCAACTACCAGAGGCCTCAAAATCCAAACCCACGCGCCTACAGGCCTGGCCTTCCTTCCCAAAAGCTTGCTCCCATCCACACGCTCCTTGATTATCTCCCAGTATTCCTCCACGCGCTTGACTATTGGAAAACTCACCAGGATTATCACTTTCACGCGCCACCGCTCGAACCAGAATTGACTTTTCAACAGGCTCCAAGACCGACGGATAATGAACAAGTTTACCATCTTCAACCACCGTACCAATCATCGGAAGCTCAGGGACACCATGTTCATCAACAAAAATCATTCTATCATCCATTGTGCTACGCACCGGAGCTGCTTTCAACCATGGGCCATAAACATTGTCTCTGGGAAGATCAGAAACATCTGAATCACAATTCTTCATAGAGTGCCCCAATCTGCCACAAGCATAGCAAAAATCCCCTAATTTTTCATATTTCAATTTGACTTAGAGCTTTTCTTTACCAATGCGAGGGACCCAAAAGCCAGGCAGAAGAGGCTTCCTTGCATCAATTTCAATCCTATCCCTCATATAGCATCTCCCCTTTCCCTGATTCCATTCAGGTTTCTCAAGAATGATAATGCTACCGATAGTAGATCCAATTTTTTTGATATTGTTGAGGTTCTGCATCTCCAGGGGGAGACCATGGATCTGAATCCAGTATTGAACCTTATGAAAGGGGATTTCAGAGATAGATTTTTCAACCTCCCACTTCTTTAAGATCAAGCAAAAGCCCATAACATTCCAAGGGCTATCAATCATCGCTTGAAGCATAAGATCCTCAGAATTGAAAGCCAAACCATAGGTTTGCGATCCAAGCTCAGTGATGACAGGGCAATCTCTACTAGGCCACATACTGCGAAGAACTCCCATGGCGCCTCTTCTATTAACAGGCTTATCAGAGATAATTTTCCCAATTAGCAGAAACTTAGTAGCCTCCCTCGCCACAACAGCTTGAGATTCCAAATAGATCTCCATTGAACACCAACAAAGAAACTAACAGCAAAAGGAGAATG